CCTTGCCTTCACTGTCTTTGGAAATTAAATGACAGAGTCATTTGGGATTCTGGCTAGAGAGTCATTTAGTTTAGTGCGCTACACCCCCCGTAGCCCACGAAACTTAATGACAGAGTCATTTGCCCATGTTCCTGAATAACATGGCTGTGAATTCCTCCACCATATCCTGAATCCTGCCAGGATTCCTAATGAGTGCTGAAAGCCCACTAGACTTAGCCTCAGCATTAGAGGCCGGAGAATAGTGGGTTACACCCCCCCTAGCCCACTATTCTCTGAGGCAGGGTAATGTGCCCACTATTGTTCGAGTTGTCATTTCAACTCAAACAATAGTGGGCACATTACCCTGCCTCAGAGAATAGTGGGCTAGGGGGGGTGTAACCCACTATTCTCCGGCCTCTAATGCTGAGGCTAAGTTTAGTGGGCCTTCAGCACTCATTAGGAATCCTGGCAGGATTCAGGATATGGTGGAGGAATTCACAGCCATGTTATTCAGGAACATGGGCAAATGACTCTGTCATTAAGTTTCGTGGGCTACGGGGGGTGTAGCGCACTAAACTAAATGACTCTCTAGCCAGGGAATCCCAAATGACTTTGTCTTTTACTTTGCAAAGAGGTAACGGAGATTGGGGATGTGGTGGGGCGGGACACAACAGTATGATGTCAAGACTTGATGGCAGCATCTGTTGGAGAAGTGAAATCTTCAGTCAGTCACCCTCCAGGTGCCATGGCGGCTCCATTGACCAAGGATGCTGTGATTAAGAAGCTGAATGCCGAAGTGAAGAAGATGTTTGTGCCAACGGACCTAGCAGACCCGAAGTCTGGCATGCATGTCCTGGATTACTTCTTGGGATTGGACAGTGTGGCATGGGAGCAGAGCATGCAAGAGCTCGGCGTGCGCTTGCAGATGCTGGGGTGGACACAAGAGGTGGAGGTCACACATGTGCCAATGGCCACCACATCCGTCGACTTCAATGGCAATGTAACGCTTTTGTCATTGAGCTGCATGAGAGGCAGGCCAAAGTTGGTGAATGTCGTGGAGACCTTCCGGAACTTCCTGGACTCCACTTACGACAGCAAGCGCTCCCCTATTGTGGTAGTGCCGGCTGGCAGCACAGGACAAGCTGTGACAGCTCGCTCCTTCCATGTGACCATCGGCATGACGCGGAGTCTTGCGTGCAAGCTGCTGTGCACCCTGGCTCAGAATGTGTTATCAGAAGCCGAACTGGCGCTGGTCCAGTCGGAGGTGGCATCGTGCTACCAAATCCGATGTGTGATGAATGCTCCAGTTGCTCCCTCTGATGTCTTCGCAAGTTCGGTCCGTGCCAAGTTCATAGTATCTGAGTCTACGAGGCCAGATATTCTTCAGCTCTACGCTGGACTGCAGGCAAACTTCTCTTTGCAGGGCCTGCTATATCAGGATTGCATCGCCAAGTTCATCGCCAGCTTCAATGCACGCTCTTCTGTGGACGCTGCAAAGCTCTCCGAGGGAGAGGTGAAGATGCTCCTCATGTTGCCCTCTCAGGAGACGCTCTTCGTGGAGTCGCTCTCGGGGCACTGGGACCAGTTCAAGAAGGAGGACTCCGGCATCACAATGAAGACATTGCTGAACAATGTCGGCCGCACAAAGCCCAAAGATGCCAGGGTGCCAGGGCTTTGGCAGACGGTGTTTGCCCCCAGCGCCAAGAAGAATACCTACTTTGTTCTTCGTGAGATAGCAGTCTTTGTCAAAGCTCTGCAGCAAGCCACCAACTCCTTGAAGAAGGGGGGGACTTTCAATCTGCGGCAACGTGCAGTAGCACTGATCACATTAACCCTAGAACCCTAAATACATAGTGGCTCTGTGAGGGCTTCACATTTAACTTGGTTGGCAATTCAGAACATATGTGCATCAGGCACGCTTGCGAGACCAGAGCCCGGACATCGGCTATGACATTGTCTGCTGCTGGGCTCACTGGGAAGATGACTTCCGGAAGGCCCTTGGTGCCAAGTACGATGAGACCTTCAACAAGTTTCTTGCAGGAGCCTTTGACAAGGAGTTCAATGAGAAGGTCAAGACTCAGGATGGCGCCCTTGTCCTGGATGACTGGCGTTTCCTGTCCATCTTGCAGGGGACAGAGACGACAGTGAGGAGCTTCGAGTTGAAGCAAGCTGAAGCTGATCAGGCAGCTGAGCGTGCGAAGTATTCCGCATGGGAGGCCGCTGTCCTCAAAGAGCAGCAGCTCTTTCAGGAGTACTGCGGGAAGCTGCGGGCGCATGAAGCGAGAAGGCAAGCTGATGAGCGGTCTTTCTGGCTGGAGGATGCAGAGTCCTTTGAGCAGGCCTGCTCCCAGTACATGGAAGCCTGGGTGCCAGTGGCTGGCCCCATGAATCCTGAGTTTGTGACTGCACAGTCGCGTGTCATGCTCAATGAGTTCGCTTTGCGGCAAGGCGTCCAGGCAGATGCTGTGGTCAGCCTGCTCATTGCAGATCTGACCAAACTGGGGTCAGCCTTCTCGAAGCACTTGACCAACATTGTAAAATTCGTGGCGGACCACGTCCAAGCCGACCCCGCGAATGCAGCAGCTTTGGTGCTTCCTCCCAACACTGGTTGTTGGGGGTCCACCCATGATGAATCGGAGATTGACAAGGCGTGCAGCGACGTTGAGTCTTCGCTGAAGATGGAGCATGGGGCTCTTGCGGTTCGCAAGCTCAGCCTGACCCTGTCTGAGTCAAGCCTTGCTGCACAAAGCAGGCGGTGCGGATATCATGAAGCCTTCTTTTGTGTGAGCACGGTGAAAAATGGAGATGGGGATATCTTGAGTAACTGGGCCAAGTCAGCCACCTTCTACCGCCGCACAATCTCCGATATCCCCGTTTCAAGCTATGCAGACTACATCGTTCCAGACCTCTCTGCCATCCATGGGTGCACATCAAAGTCGCAACGGCTGAAACAAGCCTTGGGTGGGGAAGGTTTCTACTTGAAGCTTCTGTCCAAGCTCCGACAAGGCTTGCCATCGAAGGCAGCTGCAGCACCAACTGTTGTGGTTGACATCACACCCTACGATTTTCAGCTGCATCATTGTCATGTCTGGACGGCATATTAGCAGAGAGAAGCATAAAACAACCTGAGTCTCATAACTTATCTTCCGTGCCTGCTGCGAAGAAGTAGGCTGTGGACTAGTCTCACACGGCATGTCCCTGCAGAGGGATTGAATAATCTGGGGCACGGAATGTTAGCAAGTTGGTTGATGCTTATTGGGCAGACCGTCCTACAGTTGGCCGGACTCAGGGCTCTCATGCATAATTTGTTGTGCGCTGCAAGCAGCAGAACACAAGAGAGATCATGGAACTAATTGCTTGGAGCCTTGAGGGTGCAAGCCAGTGGTTGTACAGTGGCATGCATGTGGACATATTGTGACACTTGAGTCCCTGTTCTGTCATTTTGGCAAAGTTCAGGACCTCAGCATCATCAAGGCTCGGACGTTGTCTTCCTTGGAGCCACATGCCACTCCTACCATGGTTGCTTCGGTCATTTGGGCACGGGACGACAGTGGCGCAGACCGGCGGAACCAGCTCCTGGAGTGGCTGACTGTGAAGTTCAAGCGGAGCATGCACGACCTTCTGAAGGAGCGGCCAGACATCCTGGCGCAGTATGGGTACAAGCCAAAGAAGCTCGAGGTGACAAGCCTGCCATCCTACAAGGACGACGACTTCATTTGGACGATACCTGTGGTCGAGGAAGGGAAACATTTCCTGCCAATGAGAGCCGACAAGCTGCAAGAATTCCAGAAATCCTTGAATGTGAGCCAAGAGATGATGGCCACAGCTGTTCTCGAGCACAACAAGAAGTTCAACCCTGCCGGCCATGCGTGGACTCCCACAAAGAAGCGCACAGCTGAGCATGCTGACCTCAACAAGGGCGAGGCATTGGACCTGTCAGCATCTGGCAAGGTGGAGGACCTGGACCAGCCTGTGGTGACAATTGTGCCAGAAGGGGCGACCAACTTCAAAGTGCTGGTGGACAGCAAACGGCAGGTGTGGCTGCAAGCCACGAGTGATGGCGAAGTTTCCGTGCACCAGCCCCTGATGTTGGCTTGGGGCTCCTATGTTACTGGAGCTGATGTGGAAGCTCGTGTTCAGGCGAAGGCCTCTTTGACGACGATGGCATTCCAATCCGCAGATGCCATGGCCTACTGCTTCCATGAAGCTTTGGAGAAGTTGTCACCTCCATTTGTGGGCAAGTGCTGCAGCATCAAGGAGTTTCTCGAGTACCTGGAGACGAAGGGTGTCATCAAGCCGTTCTTCGTCAGCCATGAGCTCAAAGTTTCCAACAGTGATCCGAAGTTCGCTCTGAGCACCACAGAGAGTTGTGCCTTTGAGAAGAAGACACTGCCTGCAAATCAGCAGGCAAATTTCAGCAATGCTTTGAGCATGTTGGACCTGGAGGCCCTGGGTAAGGAGCAGACTCCGAATGTGTCTGTTTCCCATCGCCTCAAATACCTAGACAACAAGCAGCAAACTGGCATTTATCCTCAAAAACCGGGCCTCTTCTTGAAGAAAAGGCTCCTGATTGCCAGTGGCAAGCTGTACAGGCTGGTGTAGTTTGCAGAAGCACTGAGCAAGCGCATTTTGGCCTCATATAGCCTGGGGTTGTTGATCTTATGTCTTACTTGGGAGCACGTACGCCTAGTAGTCTACATATGCTGCTGGGAGAACTTGGTGCTGCAGGCTGCAGGCTTGAGGAAGCGTCTTGCAGTGAAGTGGAAATCAATTGCGACTGCTGGGTGAAAAATCTTCCTGCCAGCACGGTGACAGTGAGCTTTTCATGTTAGATTAGAATGGCGCTGAGAAGCAGCCAGAAGAAAGGCGCTGAGGAAGCAGCCTCAAAGTTGTTGCTTGGCATCTTGCCTTTTGCCCAGCTAGCGGCTGGTGAGTTGAATGTGTGCCCACCACTGTGTGTGTCCAAGCTTCAAAGGTTCATATCATCCATTGCCCATTGCTGTCCCCCGTGCCATTTGATCATGGCCAGTGTTTGGATGGGCGATGCTGCGAGTGACTCTGACCAGATGGAGGAAGAGTGGGACGAGTCCACGGCCACCGTCATTGTAGAACCCCCAAAGAGCAGTACCGCTGCACCTCCAAAGAGCAGTGACGCTGCACCTCCAAAGAGTACGACTGCTGCATCTGGCCCAAGTCATGTGGCATCAGCTTCAAGTGCGCCGGAGGATGAAGGACAGCAGAACTCGAAGTCCCCTACATGCTGGATCAAGGCTGCAGCTGCTAGATCTGCTGGCAAAGCCAAAGCAAAGGCAGAAACTCTGGCGAAGCCCAAGGGTGTTGCCCACCGCATCCTGAGCAAACAGGCTCGCGACTCGGTGTCAAAGCCACGGTCGGCAGACAAGACGAAGCGGGCGGCGCGGGGTTCGGCGCAGACCTTTGCAGGACGCAGGCCCCCTAAAGATCCACAATTGTGCGAAGCTTTCCACACCATCAGGCAGGGCTTCTACGACGAAAAGAGCAAGCGCAAGGCGGAGAAGCGCACCATGAGTGTGGGCCAGGAGCTCTTTCTCCTGAAGATGAAGGACTTCATGGAGAAGGACAAGTCTACGGATTCAACACAGGTGTCTAGGCCTCTAGGCATGTTGTTTTGTCTCCAGAGGGATAGCTGGGCTGCATGCTGTGATGATTGCATGCATGGTGCTCCAAGGTGAAGTTTCAGAAAGCCATTGCTGCGTGGAGGGCAGAGGGTACTTTGTGATTGACACAGAAACTTCAGCAGTGGATGGTGCGTGAGCCGAAGCTTGTGGGATGGGTTACAGCAGCTGCCGACATCGGGACATGTAGGGGCAGCGTCTTTTCCAAGAGCAGATCTGGCGCAGAAGCCGTTGCTGATTTTGCTGGGGCAACATGTCCATAGCGATGCTTTGTCAGGGAAGCCTTTGGCAGAGCAAGTGTATGGTACGCAGCACCCTTGCTTGCTGCACAAGGAGTTCAGATTTTTGCACTCATGTGCCTCACATCTCCAGTGCCACATGAACAGTTTGATTCTGTTGCTATTTGGCAGGCTTCTTCGCCAATGCGTCCACTGGTACGGAACCTGGACTTGGTTAGGCTTCAGAGTGGAGACCTGTCAAGAGGGCTTGGTATCAGGTGCCCTAGAACTTCTTGTTTAGGGTTTAGGGTTTCTCTAAGAAGGCAAAGCCATGACTGATTGCTTGGGGCTTCTTTTTCAGAGGTATTTCCGAAGGTTTGCAAGGGCATGGGCAAGAAATGAGACAAGCAGAAAGCGACAAGCAAGAGAGAAGCCTGTTGCTGCCATTTGGCCGTGGTCCTGGTAGCGAAGCTTGTCTGCTTATCAGGTGTTTGGCCCAAGATGTGTAGGCTGAGATGGACATCCCCTGTCGTTGTTTCTTGAGACAAATTTCTGAACCCTAAACCCCAACATAAACCCTAAACCCTAAACCCTGTTCAGCGGACGTACACACACCACTGATGTTGGAAACCTTGAATCTCTTCCGTTGACTTTCTAGGATAGTTGAACATGCATGTCGAACTGGAAAGACTTCAGTCTCACAGAAGACAAGTGCCGCGGCAGTGCCCCTGACTGGAAAGTCTTGCCTTTGGAGTCGGATGGCAGTGAAAGCCACAGAGGCAAAAAGAGAGCTGGCAGTTCCGAGAGTGTGAGGAATTGGACTGATTTCCCACTGGACGGGGATCTGGAGGCCCAAGGGCAAAACCCAGTGGGTTCATCCTGGAAGGACTTGCCTCTGGATGGAGAAGTTCCCCTTCCGAGGGGCCGCAACACAACACATGTTAGTGGAGCAGCTGCTGTTCGTATCCCACCAAGCAAGAAGCCGTGCGTGGACAAGGACAGCTGGAAAAACTGCTTGTCTGCAGAAGAGACTGTGGCTGCAACGGATTCCGGGCCTCTGGAGACTCTGGAGGTAAACCTCACGAGGGAGCTTCTGTCGTGTCTGCCAAAGTTGCCGCTGTCGCAGCAGACCTCTTACGCGCTGAGTGGCAAGGACAGTGGACGCATCCAGACTGCATTGAAAGCGGGATGTAGTTGCAGTGCCAACTGCTTATCCAAGCTCCACAAAGCACCGACAGAGGCCATCGTGCGCATGTGGCATGATTTAAGCCCTGAAACCCATGTCATGGTGCTCCATGGTTTGTACGACTGCCCTGAGCAGATGGAGCTGAGGAGGCGGCACTGGGCGGTGAACAGCCAGCATGTATGTTTTCGTGGGTTGGCCAAGCTCCTGGGTCACAATGAGCGCACACTGCGGAAATGCATCCATGCTGATGCTGACAAACGACGGAGTCCTGACCTACGCCTTCCAAGGGATTGCCCCCAGACGACATTTGTGCATCACTTCTTCCTTGACCTTTACCTCAGCGCCGCGGAAGATTTGCCGGAGGTTGAAAGCTTGCAGAACCCACGCTGCAAACTGGTTTTGATTTTTTTTACTTTCTTGCTTACTTGTTCCAATGCCTAGTTCGACCTCTTGCACTGCAGGAATGTCGATGCGGTAATCGAGAAAGGCGAGGCTGCTGAGCCACATACTTTTCACTGGTCACCGGACACGCCCGTTGTGGACCGCATACTTGCTCTTCTCTCCGACAACTGCACTGCCCCTGTGCGATGGCTCCCACCTGGTCAGCTGAGTGACCTTTGGTTGCAGTTCCTATCGTGGTCCGAGTCACACAGCAGAGTGCGCAAGACGAAGGATGCAGTGAAGATAGGTCCCGTCCTGCAATTTGTGCCAGGCTGGTACACTTTCTACAACGCTTGGAAGCAGCACTGGCATTTGCGTCGCCTCAGATTCAGACCCACATCGTCACACAAGGAATGTGACGTGTGTTTTCAGCTCCGCGAGGCTTTGCACCTGCGATCCCTGTCAAAGGATGAGAAAGTGGCCAAGGCAGCTGAGTGGAGACAACACCTTGCTGACACGTATCATGATAGACTGGTGTATTATACCATGAGATACGCAAGCAGGGCCCGTCTTAACATTCTAACTGTCATACTGGACAGCATGGATAAAGCCAAATGGAGTTATCCAAGGATGAACATCAGCCGACAACCTGAGAGTCTCGAAAAACTGAGAAGACCGAGACTGGTTGTCACAGCAGCCCTTGCACATGGGTTCGCCACTGGCTTGTTCATCCAGGACAGTGAAAGGGTCAGCCACGGGGCCAACTGCTTCCTGGACCAGCTCTGTCGAACGATTCAAGTCGTCAGGGCACAAGGACCTTGTCCGGAACACTTGTTTTTGCAAACCGACAACACGACTGCGTTGTCGAAGAACTCTAGCAGCCACCTCTTTGCAGCGTTGCTCGTTGCCCTCAAGCACTTTTCTACAGTCAATTTGGGCTACTTGACCAAAGGACATACTCATGAGGACGTTGATGCATATTTCTCAAGGCTATTGCCAATCATTCGCCGTTCTGAGTTCAACACTGTCTCAGATGCTGCAGATGTCCTGCGTGGGGAGCTGCAAGGGGAGGCGCATGGCCACCACGATCCCGTCGTCGTGCAGGAAGTGAAAGCTGTGAAGGACTTTGATGCATGGCTCCACCCTTTGGGTATCAAGCTGCACAACACCTTCAGAACTCGGAAGCTTGGCTGCCATAGTGCAATAGTGCACCCCTGGCTCCGATGCCCCTGGATCCAAAGCGGATTTGTGCATGATGGCTTGGGTGACTGTGGGAAGCATGACATTTGTTCCCGACCCTCCGTGTGGGGTTGCTAGATTTCAAGTCAGCTGAATCCCTGGAGTATCCCTGGAGTGCCCAAACACTGAGAGGCTCCCATAGTTTCCAGTTTGCTATACACTCATTTTTATAGGCCTTGCATATGCATTATTTGTAGGGAGGGGATGTTCCAAGTAATAGGGCTTAATAGGGTTTAGGTTCCAGAGTTCAGGGCTTAAGGTTCAGGCTTGAGGGTGTAGGGTTTTAGGGTTTAGGGTTCAGGGTGTAGGGTTCAGGGTTGAGGGTTTAGGGTTTTAGGGTTTAGGGTTTAGGGTTCAGGGTTTAGGGTTTAGGGTTCAGGGTTCAGGGTTGAGGGTTCGGGGTTCAGGGTTGAGGGTTTAGGGTTTCGGGTTTGTGCAGGGGGCTGGGTCTTCAGAGGTTATTTGCTGCAGAAAAGTTGTGATGGCGACATGAGCTTTCGTGTTAGATTCAATTTTTCCCGGCAGACCCATGAACCGTAGCAGCCAGCATCAGCTTGTCAAACCAATCAGAGAACCTGCATTTAATTATAGCTATGTGCACATGCGCCCAGGGTGGATCCTCAAACTGGGCAGGAGCGACCGACTGCCCATGCCTTCACATACAAGAGACGTCTGGACTTGACAATGGAGGAGCGGCGCCGAGTTCCGGCAGTGAATTCTCAGGGTCACCCAGATGATGTTTTTGGCATTGTCAAAGGACGCATGTTCCATGACATTGACGAAGCACATGCTCCACTGCTAGTGTTGCCCCACAGCAGACTTGAGACCTTGGGTTCCATTCGGGACTTGGCCCTGGAGAAGCGCAATCTCTTCTCCCAGCAACGTGCAAAAGAACTGCAGAAGCTGGCTGACACTCTGGATGATATCCGCCGACCCCAAGGGGCTGCAAGTGTTCGCAACTTGCTTGCCGGTGATGCCACTTTGGAGGAGTACAGTGGTGACATGAGCTGGCTTGCGCAACCAGGCCAAGTCCATCACCCGGCTTTGGTTGTGACAGGTAACCGATACTTTGCACACATGCCCGATGTGTCTTGGCCACTGCTGGCAACATTCCGGCGGCAGTAATATTTTACTTGGAGATGTGCAGCATACGTTGCCAGTTGTATTTCATGACTCTGTAGATTGTAATTCCATCAATGCTGAAGCATGCTGCAACTTCTCCGGGAAAGCTTGGCAGGGGTCTTGCAAGGCTGGTTGCCATGGGCTTGAGTTCCATGCGTCATGCGTGTGTGTCTGCGTGCGGCAAAATTAAATTGCAGCTGATGCAGAAACATCAGTGGCATGTTTTGAATACAGCACCGTTGCCTCAACTTGCTTCCAAGCACGAGGCCTGGCACTGGACCATGATGCAAGGCCCTGAGCCACTGCAAGTGTATAGCTGCGTGTGCGGGGGGGGGCGGGGGGGGGAGGGAAGAAAGTCGAAGAGAAAGAGTGAGACACAGAGTCAGGGAGTTTTAGTTGGGATGTGGCGCTGAGCAAGCAGCCAAAGAACGGCGCTGAACAAGCAGCCGAAGCGTTTTTGTGCTTGGCCTCGGGTGTGGGCAAGTGAGAAGAAGGCTTCATGTTAGCAATAGTAAGCTGAGTGAATGAATGCATGCATGTGTGGTTGTGTTTTCAGATATCCTCTCAAGCTGCAGTCCTGGCGTGGATCTACTGGGGCATCCAGCATCGTGTGTCCAGCATCGTGTGCCCATGACAATGAGGGTGCCTGAGGCCATCCTCTCGATGGCTGTGTTTGGGACATGTCTTCAGGCTGTGTTGGACTGGCCTGGTGGTGCAGACCAGGACAGACAACTTGATGTCTTCGAGATCTGGAGTGGAGTAGGATCCATCTGCGCAGCAGCCCAGAAAGCAGGCCTGGCTGCTGATGCCTTTGAATTGACCCGAATCCCAGGTGTGACAGATGACCCAAGCAACCCAGCAACAGAGGATTTGCTGTGCAAGGCCGGGTTTTTCCGCTGCCTGGCGAAGGTGTTGACTGTGCGGGAGAAAGGTTTGGTGTGGATGGGCCCACCCTGTTCAAGTTGGGTCTTCCTCAACCAGAGGAACTGCAAGCGCAATGCCCACAATCGAGGAGGCGATGGCACTTACAAGCCCGTGGCAGATGGAAACACATTTGCCAGAATCGCCGCCTTCATCTTTGCCTTGTGTTCCATCCGCAATGTCTTCGTGGTCATCGAGCAACCAAAAGGCAGCCAGATGTGGTTTTATGATCCGGTTCAATTGGTATTGAACCATTTCCAGTGCACCTGGGTCACAATGGCCAGATGTCGGTTCGATCGGCGTCCATATGGGCAGCGATGGTTGAAGGTCTTCAAAATATGCGGACCTTGGTGGATTGACCAGTTGTACCGACAATGCCTATGCCCTGGTGAACACAAGCCCTTGGTCACAGTGTCTGAGAGCGGTCAAATCACTGGCAACACAGAAGCATTGAAGAGTTCTGCTGCTTATCCCAAGGCGATGGGAGAGGCTGTCATCAAGCGTTACATGGCAATACAGCAAGCAGATCCTCCTGCGTCTGTGTCCCACAAGAAACCTGCTGCCTTGCACAAGCGGCCGGCTGCCTCCCACAAGCGGCCTGCTGCTAGTGAGGCTGCTAGTGAGAAAGCTCCTAAGAAGTTGGCCATGGATCAAAGCTGGAAAGAGCTCAAACTTGAGGCTGAAGAATCCATGAATCAGACAGTCAGCCACAGTTCGGAGCAGCAAGAAGAGAAGGGAGCATCAGCCTGGACCGCCATGCCACTAGATTGATTGTACAGTCAATGTCAGTTGCTCCGGGATTTCGAATCCTTGTTTTTTGCAAACGTGGCTTCAGAGCAGCGTTGAGAAATGAGATGAGCCTGGTCACCAGAAGTGCAGCTTTGGCATATTGTGTGGGCTTCAACCTAACAACACATGGTGATATGAGTGATATGTACTTGGCAAGCCTCTGTGCACAGCTCATGCGTTCTCAGTTGTCCTGCTTACTTGCTTCGAATTTCCATCGCATTTCACGCATTTCTGGACAGGAAGTTTCAGAGGCTTGTGGACAGCACCTTCACACTGCATTTTGCATGCTGAGCTGTACTGAGGCTCGGATTTCCCCCAGTCCCCACAAGCTTGCAACAATGAGCGACTGCCGCCATGGGATCACAGAGGAGCCCTTGCAGCCGCCGGCCAAGTTGCGACGATTGGGGCCATTGCGGGAGGAGCACATACCACCTGATGAGAAGAAGGATGTGCAGTCTGCCCAGTGCCAGGAGTTTGCTGTCCTGTCAGAGTCAAACCTGCAGGGCTACAAGGAAGCCTTCTTGTTGGATCAGAAGCAACGTGATACCGACAGCAGCTCACAGGAAACTCTAGTCCTTGGTGAGCATCTCTTGGAGAAGGCAAGCTAGTTTTCGGAGGTACGATCAGATCTGCCAGAGGGGAACGGCAGCGTGATGCAATGAAAATAGAATTGGCCAGTGGACTTCTGCTGACACTCCTGTTGCTGCACGCTGCACTGCATCGGACAACTGAGGCTTATAATGCATCCTGCCTGGGGCTCGGCACTTGTGCACAGTGCTGCATTGGATGCTTCAACTCTTACTGGCTTGCACTATGCTGGTTTTGTCGTCTGTTTCTTCAAAGCACATCACATGCAATGCAAGTGCATATTGAATCTGCCAAGACATGCTGTGGTGAATGGGTTCAGATCTTTCAAAGACACTTCAGCTTTCACAGAAAAACCCTCCCTTGTCCTGCTACTGCCCCCTGACCCTACTACCCCTGCAAGCCCCCCCCCACCCCCACCCCCCACGGGCACCACCCCACAGCCCCCCACCCCCCACCCCCATACCCCACCCCACCCACCCCAACCACCCCACCCCCCCACCCCACCCCACCTTCCCCAACCCCGACACCCTGTGGCTGCTTTTCAGCGCCATTCTTGGGCTGCTTGTTCAGCGCCCGTTTTCTGGTTGCTTTTCAGCGCCATTCTTGGGCTGCTTGTTCAGCGCCCGTGTTGTGGCGTCTGGCTGCTTTGCAGCGCCAATTCGGGACTTTACGGAAGGGTGCGTCTGTTAAGTTCGGGGTTTGGGGGCACCTAAAACACACCCAAAACCAGTTAATTCGGGGTTTGGGGGCACCTAGAACACCCCCAAAACCAGCTCCAAAGATCTGCTGTCCAGTCCTCATGCAGCGGTTTCGGGTCGGGTTAGGGGCTTAGGGCTTAGGGTCTAGGGCATGGCTTGAAATTTAGGGATTAGGGTGAGGTTTTAGGTGGGGGTTTGGGGCTTAGGGCTGAGATTGTGGGTTGAGGCCTGGCTACCATTAAGCCCAAGGCTGTGGGTTTAAATTTAGGGTTTAGGGCTTAGGGGTGGGCTTTAAGGTGAGATTGTGGGGTTTAAAATACCGAAGAAGAGCCCTTGCAAACCAAACCCCTGAACCCAAACCCTAAACCTAAGAATCCTTTGGTTTTTAGCACCTAGAGGACCCAAAAAACCCTCGGACTCGGCTCTGCTTTAGGTTTTAAGGCTTGGGGTGGGGTTTAGGGTTCAGGCCAGGAGGTATAAGGGTGGGCTTTAAGGTGCTGCCAGGCCTAAGGCTCAGGGTTTAGGTTTTAAGGCTTAGGGTGGGTTTTAAGTTGAGCAAACCGATTTATTCAACCCCCCCCCAGCAGTACTTACTCTTGTTGTGTGTATGTATATATATATATACATATATACATATTATGTGTGTGTGTATATATATATATATATATATATGATATGTGTGTGTGTAGTGCATGTACAGTTCACTGACCTGACAAGGGACCACGGCGGCCCAGGATGCTGAATGATTTTATGAACACACTTCAGGTCCTAGTTGTGTATGACATTTCTTTTTGGTTTTGATTTTCCTGGCACACCCTTTTCCTAGCATGTGGTCCACTGGCATTCCAACAAAATTGTAAAGTTGTTTTATGGATAGTTTTTGGAACACAAAGTGCTTTTCTATGCTTTTCCTTTGGAGCACCTGGTCAAATAAAATCTACCATTGTATGCAAACCAAAGGCATTCTTTTCTCAACTTGTCAGGAAATGCATACAAACTGCAGCAAAACACCAACCACCAGTTGCCCAAAAACAAACCACCACTTGCCAACAACAAGCCTTACAATCCGAGTCAGCGTCGCTGTCAACGGATGAACAATCAGATTCTTCCTCATCTTGTCTTGGAGATCGCTTCCATATAGCCGGGGCTGATGGATTCCACCTTCGGCACAATCTGATGGCGGGTGCCGCAGGGAGTGCTTTGGCCTTAGCATTCGGTTTCGCTGCAGCGGCCTTCGCTTCGGATTTGGCTTTGGCCTTTGCCTTTGGCTCCGGTGCTGGGGTAGCTGCGGCCTCATGCTTGAAAGGACAATTCTCTCTTGAGCACGAGCCTGTGTTCTTGAAAGAGTAGCATATCCGATTTCCTCCTCCAGATGGACTTGGAGTTCTCGTCCTCGGCGTAAAGGGTCGTTCTGGAGTCTTCTTCGAGTGGCTGAATGGACACTTGTCACCATTTCGACACCCTGCATCTGTGAAATGGAACTTGCAGCGGATATGCTTCTTGCTCTTGTCGCCCCTGTTGTCCGCTGACTCACTCCTTGTCTTCTTCTTGGGCTTTGGCTTGGTCTTCGCATGACTCTTCGCCTTGCTCTGAGGTAGCACGGGTGTTGCTTTATCCGGCTTGGTAGGCGATGCCTTGACCTTTGCGGATGGGGCTGCATTAGGCGTTGGTTTCTCAGGTACCTTGGCCGGTGCAGCAAGCAAGTCCTTGCCCTCAAGCATCTGACGCAAACCAATTTGAGTCTGAGTGAGATTTGATTGTTCTCGTCTCCGCATGATGGTGCGATCGATGATCTTCATCAGATTGTCATACGATCGATCTTCGTGGTTGTAGGGCAGGTGGTCATAATGCATGCCCAAATCCATCTTCATTGCGGGCGAGTCCTTGGTCTTGCTGTGCAAGCAATCACGGAGAGCTGTCTTGGATGGTATGTCCTCTGGTCTCATCCGTCCGAGAACTTCCAACCATGTTTGCTTGAACGTATGAAGCTTGTTGTCGCCTTGGTACTGGAGCTTCACCAGGTACTCGAGAGTGATGATCATGTCGAGACGGTCATGCGTTCGGAAGCTTTCATACATCATCGCAATGATTTGTCGTCCTTTGATGATCTTCCCTTCGGGCCTGCTGATGTAATTGTTGGCCTTCCGGTTCACCTCCAGGTACAGATCAGCAGATTTGTCACCACCAGCGCGTAACATCGCAACCATGGCAACTCCCAATTTGACGTCTATGCTCTTGAACTTCTTGTGTCCTGAATCGTTCAATGCTTCGACATCGGGGAATGGATTGAAAGCTGGTGCCAGCCACAACATCCAGTCCTCATGATTTGGGTCGGCTGACGCTCCTAGAACATTCGCCGTGCATACGGACCGCCAATTGTTCAGGTGAGTGAGAACAGGCCATGGAGGGACCGTCACTTTGTCGGCCTCTCTTCTGGAAATCCTCACCTCCGTGACCTCAGGATCTGCGTCTCCGTCAGGATCACGCGCATGAGGATCAGGATCCGGCTTCTTCTTGTCATCTCCGTCATCATCAGGCGGATCCGGAGGGTCGTACCCTGTGCCGGCACCTTCACCTTGCTCTCCATCTTCGTTCTCATCGCCAGCCTCACCGCCGTCATCGTCTCCATTGTCTTCTTGCATCGTTTCAGCGAATAGTCTCCACTCATCACGATCAGCTCTAAGGCGTTGTTCGGCTTTCTGGGCCTTGAGTACTTCGCTTCGCAGATCAGCAATCTTCTCTTCGTACTGTTCCGCGATCTCTTTCTCGATCTGACGTCTCCTTGCTTCATGGATGGAGGCATCATAGGTAACCGGCGTAGCCTTTCTGGCAACATTGGATTCGTTGCCTTTCATAGATGCGATAATGCCGTCGATATCAACAGGCCTTGAAGAGCTGGCAGATGCTGTGGACTTTGATCCCAACATCCCGCGATCCTCCAAGAGTTCACGTAGCTGTCGGTCACGTACAGCTGCCGCATCACTTTGTCCATGAAATCCACTTGGTATGCCAAACAGAGTGGCTGCACTAGGCGTGGAACGCGCATGTGCTGGACTGCTATTGCCTGGCACGTAGTGCTCGGGCATTGCATCCGCCACAATTGGCGTTGTGTAGGATTTATTGGCCTCACCTTTGATGTTGCCGGTGAAGAAGTTTCCACCGGTGAATGGAATGCCATCCATCGCAAGGTTCTTGTCCTTGCTCGATTCCGAGAATGCGAACTTCTCTTTGGCGACTGGACTAATCTGACTTGGGGATCGTATTTCAGGGGATCGTACCTCACCTCCTACGGAAAATGCAGGCACTACATCTTTCCCTACGTGCTCCCAGCCAGACTCAGTAGTCCTCGAAGACATTGGCATGCTCGAAGGCCGTGCCACTCCGCCATGGTAGCTGGAGTTCCGTGCTGCCTCCAATTCGCTGCGTGTCCTCGCTTGAAGATCTTCTTGTGCTTTGAGCGTTTTCCTGAGTTCACTCAGCTCGTCGTGCAAGGTAGGCAATGCATGCCTTGCATGATCCTCATTCTGATGGAGTCGGTCCTCTGCATCTTACATCCTCTTCACAGCCATTTTGCGGTACTCTTCCTCTTCGCCAAGACGTTCGCGAAGCCGAAGTCGTTCTTGATCAATGGCTGCACTGTTCGCAGCCAGCCCCTGAATCTCATTTATGGCTCGCAATTCCTGATTCCTGACCAGGTGGAACCGTTCCTGCATTGCTTGCAGGGCTTGTTCCGAACTTGCTGTGTTCGATCGGAGGAACAAATTCTCTCTGGCTTGTTCATGAAGTTCGTGAGTCAGATGCTCATACTCACGTGCCATAAGCTCACCATCACCCTGCGCTCTTGCCTCCAACTGCACAAAATTAGTGGCTGCTTCCGTGCGAAACACGTGTAGCTGTTGAGCTAATTCCTCGGCAACGGCGTGTGCTTGACGTTGTTGAGCAGAGTTCTGTTCATCCATGCGAAACAAGGCGGTTTCATAGTCTCGCTTCATCTCCTGATTGACATTGTTGATGTGCCTCATGGCTAAGCATGCATGATCACGTTGTCGTTCCAATTCTTCGATGCGAATCCCAGATCCTTCATCTTCTTGCTGCATCTCCTTGATCTTCTCCATCAGGGTCTGGACGACTCCTTCGTACTCCTGCACTTGACTGCGATAGTACATCTGCTGTGCAAGATTCGATGCTTCGAACTGTTGCGGAATCGTCAATCCCTGGTAGGCATTCGGACCATCGGCTATGGCTGGTGTAGTCACCGACGAAGCATCACCACGTGCAGGAATCGTATCCAGAGTCATATCCAGATCGTCAGCTTCGCGTGG